AGCTGGTATGTATATAGCAATTACTGTGCACAGGCACATCTAATACAACCCTAGGAGGTAGGTACCACCATCCACTTTCACAGATGCCCAGAGAATAGTTACTCACCCACCGTCACTTGCTGGAGCCAGGATTGGGACCTCTGAGCACTATACTCTACTGCTGCTCATCTTACCTGCTCTTTCAAACAACCTATAAAGTAAGTAAGATGAATCTGCTTTACCTGACAAATATTTATAGAGTTCTTACCTGCCAGGCCTCATCCCATGTATCGAGTTTCCAATGATGGATGAGCCACACCACCCCTACTCTGAAGAAGCTTACAGTCTAGTGAGCAAGACAGACAAACCCACATTTTACTGATGAACAACAGAAACTCTAGGCTTCCATAAATTAAATAACTTATTCAAGCACACAGCCAGCTAGAGAGAGGGTGGTCAGGCCAGGGCTTAAATGCTGACATTTACATCTCCAAGTCTAATTCTTATTCTGAGTAACGTTGCTACTTCCTTTTCTGGCCTACTGGGAAAAACAAAAGAAAACAAAACAGGGACGTGCATGCTGCCACTCAGAGTTCGCATGCCACAACTAAGGAGTCTGCAAGCTGCAACTAAGGAGCCCGCCTGCTGCAACTAAGACCTAGGGCAACCAAATAAATAAATGAATATAAAAAAAAAAGAAAGAAAACAAAACAACAATATCATAACAAGGACTATCTAGTGTAACCAAACTTCTACAAAAAGAGTCTGATCTCGGTAAGCGGGAAACATTAAACGAAGCTATTGTGATTCTGATGCAAACAGCACAGGCCACCTGCGCCAATAAACTACATATCATTTCAACAGCTGAAAAACCTATCATTTCAAACATTAAACGTCCTGTCATCAATAACTTTTGCTAAAAATATTTCAGATACTTTGGGTGAATCACTTACATTGGGCCACTGTTCTCAAGGAAAACCAAGATAAATCCTTGTGGTCTGAGATGCTGAAGATGGCCCCAAATGATTCAGTTCCACAGTAATTAAAACTATTTTTCATTTTTCCTTCTGCTCTTTTTAATGCTCCCTAAAGGAGGCCTAGAATCCCTTTTTTATATGTAAGAGAATTGTCCCAAACTACCTAACTGTACTGGCCTGCAAAACTTGTTTTACCACACTTGGCCCATTACAGCTTTCAGAGTGAACTACTATTACTCACCATATGCCTTTAAGCCCCTCTTGGTCCAGGCTTAACTGGCAACATCAAGTGCAGCAAGGATTCATTAGTTGCTTTTACCCACAGGATGCTTAAACACAGAACTCAAGCCATGCCAGCAGTAGATCTTTTTCCTTCTTTTTTATTTCTCAAAAGGGTCCTGATTGGGATCAACCATACATGTAGTGTAGGTAGCTAGTCACTATCACATGACTTGGAGGGTGACAGTAAAGGCCTCCCATGGCCCTAAATAACCCCTATCCCAGCCTGTCAAAGTAGCTAAATTTACGGAAGAGAGGTTTGATTACAGGGAGCTACTAGGGTCATTAAGGAGGTTAACAGGTATTTACCAAATGTGTGTTATGAGCCCAACACAACAGGAGACCAGGCACGGCCCATGTGACCAAGGACAGGGGCCAGAGTTCACCAGTATCATTAAGATAGAAACGTAGTGCTTTAGGTAATTTTAATATCTAATTTATTTTTAGTAAAATGTAAAGTATTTTCACATCTTCACACTGCTCACGCAAGGGGCAGCAGGGTGTAGTGGAATGAAGGGCCTTGGGGGAGGTCTTCCACCTCCTCTTCCAGCCTCATTTCTGAGCATCCAGTGAGCCAGCCCCTCTGAACAACCAGTGGCTCCCCAAGCTGCCCAGCGCTACGGGCTGCAAATACAAGGATGACTACACAGTCCCCTGCCCCCTGGCCACTCACAGACAATCAGGAAACAAGTGCAGCACCAGATTGGTACAGGGATTAGGGAGCTTTGAAGGGACGAAGCTAACCCAGCACGGAGGGCAGGGGGAGGGCAAGCAAGGAGGAAATGACCCTGGGCTGAGTCTTCAGGGGCGTGGAGTCTTCCCACGCGGCTGTGGTGGCGTGCGCGGGGCAAGCAACCAAGGCGTCCAAGCCCTGTGCGTGCAGGAACCAGAGTTTTGTGGTGCTCAGAGCACAATGGGTAAGGCAGTGAGTGGTGAAGGATGAGCTGAGGAGGAGGGCAGGTGCCTGGCACAGGGATGACTACACTGTAGCTGATGCAGCGCCGCTGAATGTCTGGTTCCTCGTTTGGCATTTACGCCAGGGAAGTGTGCTCATTGCAAATACTGTAGAAGGTACACATCAGGAAAAAGAAGATGAAAAGTGTTCAAAATCCCACAGTTTAGAGATAACCACCGTTAACATTCTCATGTACAATCTTTTATATATATGTATGTGTGTTTATATATTATACATACGTACCTATACTAACAAATATATTTTTCTTCAAAAATGAAATCATTTAAAATGTGATATATACCCACAATGGAATATTATTTAGCCTTAAAGAGAAAATTCTGACATGCTACAACATGGATAAACCATCAGGACATTGTGCTAAGTGAAATAAGCCAATCATAAAAAGACAAATACTGCATGAGTCCACTTATATGATGTACCTAGAGTAGCCAAATTCAGAGGCATAAGTCAGTGGCAGTGGCGAAGGGCTGGGGGAGAAGGGGGAAACAGGGAGCTATTGTTTAATGGGTACAGAGTTTCAGTTTTGTAAGATGATAAGATTTTGGAGATTGGCTGTACAACAATGTAAATATACTTAACACCCCTGAACTGTATAGTTAAAAATAGCTAAGATGGTAAATTTTATGTTATGTGTTTTTTTTACCACACTTAAAATAAAATATATAAGTAAATAAAATATAAAAAAGAAAATAAAATATAAAAAAGAGATTCACTTGATAAAGCTATTTTAATACCTTTTCCACTTATTTTTGTGATCACTTTTCCATGCAAGATACATACTCCGCCATCAATATTTCAGATAACTGCATAATAGTCTATTGCAGAGATCTACCTTAATTTATTTAACCCAGGAGAATTACTTTTTAGGATGGAAGAAACCTGCAAACACTTGGCTGATAGGAAGCAGCCAGTGACACTTGGCTGATGGGATGGAGCCAGTAAAGAGCAGAGAGAGATTCAAGACCACAGAAGAGAGAGGAATATTAATAGAGCAAAGGTTCCAAAGAGGGCATGCTCAAGTAATGGGCTAACCTTAAACATGGGGAAAAATGGATACCACATCCTCTGAGGAAAGGAAATGAAGATGGGTATGAATAGATTTGCATGTATAAAGAAGACTTCGGGAAACTGAAGAAGTCAAGAGATGATATCTTAATGAAGATAAAGTGGTAGAGAAGTAGGGTATGAAAGAGTTGGAAGGATACATAGCTATGTTCAGAGAATAAGACACTGAGGTTAAAATTTCTGAAGTGAAAAGGTACCAGCTGGACGAGGATCTGGGTGGAGGTTTGAGAGTGAGTAGCTGTGGTTTAGTGCCAGAGAACTCACTGAGAAGGTATCTAATGATTTTGAGGCCAGATTCATGGTCAGATCATCTAGGATGCCACCTAGATGACTGGAGTAAATTGGAGTCTTTTTGTTTAAATAAGAGGGGTCCACTGTCTTTCATGTGCCCATTCCCCTGTCCATCTGATCCTGGGCATGCCTGTGATACTCTGGTAGTGCATCATCAAAGTGCATGGGTTGCCTTGCCCACCTGTGATGCTGCCCAGCTGACAGAGTATGATAGAACACCTGGTGAGCTTTATGAAAATGTCTGATTTAACTGATCTGGGGTGCAGCCTGGATTTTTACAGATTTTCAGATGATTCTATTGCACAACTAGGGTTGAGAACCTCTGCCCTCTGGCTCTTTGCCATTTTCCCCTGACTTGTGGCCAAGTCAGCAGCTCATTAAGCACTTCTTCACCCCAATGTCTGCCCAAGCCCTGCATGGAAAAAGGTCAGTGGTTGTTTGAACAACCCAAGGGGAGGGTGCTATCCCTTAGGACTTAATAAAAGCCAAATCATGCAGTTAGCTGTGAGAAAACCATAGCTGGGTGTTCAAGCAAAAGCCACGCTGTCCAACAACCACACATGGCTATTTAAACTGAAACTAATCCAAATTTGAAACTGTTTTAATTAAAAGTCCAGTTCCCCAGCTGCACATTCAAGTGCTCAGTAGCTAGTGGCTGCTGTACTGAACAGTTCAGAGATAGAACCTTTCCATCACCATAGCAAGTTCTGTTGGACACTGCTAATATAAAAATATTCTTTTCTTCTGAAAATAATCTGGGTGCTTATATTCATTTTCTTCTAATCATGGGCAAAATGAGCCACGTGGTATGCAGAGGGTGAACACACTGCATCTCTGGTCATTTTTTCTCAGATGACTGATGGTGACTCTTTACCCCTTTTCGGGAAAAAGAACAAAGAAAGGAATTCTATGCTATCACGAACAAAAGTTTTTCTGAACAGTCCCATCTATGTATTAGGGCAGCAGTGGCTTCCCGACTTTTTTGCCTGTGTGTGACAGTAAAAAATATATTTTCTATCACAACCTTGTATGCAGATATACATGTATATAACAGAAATTTTTTTACACATCAATATTTATCCTTACTACATGTTTTGCACTTGGATATTTTATAATTCTATTATATTCTATTTTCTGTTTCATTAAAGAAAAATAAACCTACTTAACAGTTCTCATAGCTCTGGTGGCCTATAGCTTGAAAAACCACTACCTTAAGATAGAAGTTGCCCACACAAAACTGAGACTCAATTTCACACTTAATAGCCAGCGAGATAATAATTAATAGCTAACATTTATTGGGCACTTACTATATGCCAGGCATTGTGTTAAATGTTTTACATTCATTGCCTTATTCAATTCTCATAGTAACTCCATAAAATAGTTATCCAAGAACTATGAAAGGGCTGAGATTTTATTTGCACAAGTTAGCCTACCACAGTTTCCTGGCTGCTGGCAGAAGACGCAAGACTTCTGGGTCAGAGACAAAGGACTTTATCACAGCAACAGCAGTAGCCAGAGTATCAGCATTTCCTTGCACTAGTTCCCCAACTCCAGTTCCTGTAGGGCATCAAAAGAGGGCCATGTAACTCCTGCACATGCAGTAAGTAGCATTAATGGAGAGGAACTCAGCTGCAAGAACTTAAATCTGTTATATTGGATATAAGCATGCCTGCTCCCGGCTTCTGAGGGCAACACTATGTCTATCACCCAAGACCATTTACTACACAAACATCCTTAAAAAGACAGTTTAGACTGAAAGGGCAGTCAGTGCCTCTCTTTGAAAAACCTGTTGAAATGCATGGGGCGCATGGAGAACTGTCTCCCAACAGTAGGTGCCTTACTTATCCCCATTTTGTACACGAGGAAACAATGACTTAAAGAGGATTAAGTAGCTTATTTAAGGTTACACAGCTAGTGACCCAGGTCTACATGACACCTAAGCCTAGGCTGATACCACCTTCTTTCATAGCCAATGGACAGTGAAATAGGAAGAGGGAAGAGAGCTGTCATTCATTTAGTCATTCAGGTATGAAATTTGTCCCTACAGAAAGCAATTAGCCACAGATAATTTGTAACAGACCATTTTTTTTCACATTTTCTTCAAGAATTCCATAGGAAGAGTATCAAATGAACAGGGGTTGACAAGCTTTTTCTATAAAGGGCCAAAGAGTAGAGATTTTCAGCTTTATGGGCCACATGGATTCTGTTTTAATTGCTACTCAGCTCTGTGGTGGGAGTGGAGAAACAGTCACAGGTAATACATAACCAATGGGCATGGCTGTGTTCCAATAAAACTTTATTTTCAAAATAGTTTGTTAACTCCTGTTCTCAGATAGCCCAGTGGGATACCCAAAAAAAAAAAAAAAAAGGCACAGTAATTTCTACACACAAAAACACCAATGATTTAATTGGAAAAACAAGGTAAACAGGCAACAAGCAAGCAAACCAGGAGCTTATGAAACTGAAGCGAACCTAGGTTCTATGTCAGAGTCCTGTTAAGTCAGCCTGGATAAACAGTATGTCAAGAACTAAGGTAAAATATTCATGGACTAAAAGTAGAATGGAGTCTACACATCATCTCTCTGTGATGACTGTGGTCATGCCAAGACTATAAGAAATAATGTGACTTCCAAAGGCTTTTTCTAGCTCGTAGATGCTCAGTAGGGGAGGAGTTATCCAAAACAATCCTCTTTAATTTTCCGTGTGATGACATGAGTTAAAACCTATGTTATGAATAAGGGGGAAGTAACAGTGAAAAAAATGTTACTCTGGGCCAGGGACCATTCTAGGGATTTCACAAATATTGACCAATAGCTAATAAAGAATACCATTTCTGAATTGCCAAATTTATGGCTCTGCAAGTGAATACTCACTTGGGTCAGTGGCCTGATCTTAAAAAAAACAAAATGTACCACTATTTGACCACAATGGTATCCATCCCCCAAATCAATTACTGGAAAATTTTTGTCTTTATTTTTACATGCATACATATATAATCAAAATTTTGTTTATTCTTCTTTTTCTAATTCCTTTAGGTGGTACGTTAGGCTGTTTACTTAAGATTTTTCTTATTTATACAATCAAAATTTTGGTATACAAATGGCAACCCACTCTTTTTCATATAATCAATTTTTATGTCACATATAAGCTCAGATTAAAATGGAAAAACACCAATCAAAATGTCATAGAAAAGACAGCTTTCTCAAGAACAATTCTATTAGCTGCTAAAATTACAGGGAGATAAATATGTTCTTGTAAACACTGTGCTGCCACTGACAAGACTGGCAAATTTTTCAAAAGGACATACTTTTGAAGTCTAGGCTACATGGGAACATAATACCACAAGGAAGAAAAACTGTCACCTGTAAATTAATATTCCTGCTACTGCATGTAGATATATTTTAGTTACTAGTGTTTCTATGTAAATACACTTTAAGTTTTAGTGAAAAGTAGAACTTAGAAATTCCAGGAGATATATTCCCATTGAAACTCCAGGACAATTACATTACAGAATTCTAATTCACAAACACTCCAAGTTAAGTAAAAAATTATATTTCTATTTGGATTGCTTTACAATGGTATCAATATCTCTTAATTAACACCTTTTCACTCATGAATCAATAGAATAAAAAATAATTTGAAGACTATTTTATTAACCAGCCCAGTTAAAAAAATACACCACCTATTTTAGCTATGTACAGTTTTAATTTATGCTTTAAAACTTCCAATTATTACCATTTAAAATATTTCTTTGGCAGCTAAGTCATCATAAGTGTAAAAAAACCCAGGAAGATATCTACTTTGTTAATAAATGAAATATTTGATGAATAATAAGGCTATGCTATTTTTGGAGACATTTATGTTTACATTCAGTTGAAAACCATTATAATTCATTATAATTACTTCATTGTTAAATAACACCATTTAAACTACAGGCTAATTTCCACTACTGCCATAGTTAATCACAATTACTTCCTCTTTTTTTTTTACTTCTTAAGCTTTGTCTACATTAGCCTAAAAGTATTACATGACTTTCAATGTTTTGTCAAAGACACTTCATCTCACTCCTTTGCATTCCACAGATAGAGTCTGTATCACGGTCCTCGGATATGGATGATTCTGAAGCCTTGAGCAAAATCTGCATATCTTATGAATTTTTAGTATGTTAGACACAGCCTCTGTACTTTTTAAAGAAGGAAAGTAACCATGATGACAAGCTGTTGCCTTTTTTATTCTAACTGACAAAGTCTATGGACAAGTGGTTGCTCACATTTAGTTTGACCTTTAAGAAAAACTGAACTCTACTTCCAAAATGAAATCAGTTTTACTTTCCAGATTGCACTGGGTCGGGGCAGGGAGACTCCCAGCTTCAATTTTAAGACATCTCCTTTTATATGAAATTCTTGAAGCAACATTGTTTTCCACTTATCATATTGAAAATAAATCATGAAGCACTAACAGGCAGAAAGTGATTTTGAAAAACAAATAATTTAGAATGAAGTAAAAAGTGGGGGATTTATGGGACAAACATATCTATTTAGACTTTTGTGACTATTTGCTACAAACCAGTATGCAAAAGTTAGGAATTGGTCAGGAGGGAAGGAAGACTGAGCTCTTAGCCTCTGGGACATTTGGGTTTCTTTGGGCCCCAGGCTGCCTGTCCAAGGGCATTAGCCTTCAGAGGCCACAGGCTGGCAGCAGTGAGGTCTCTTCCAGCCTAAACGTGCAATGACTCCTCTCTCACTCATCAGGCCTCATCTTACACAGAAAACAACTGTCATCAGCTCACTTCCACACTTCTGCAATGCTGTACAATGTTTGAGTCTCACGGGTCTGCCGATGTCCATCTATGTATCACTGTTGCATTGCAATATGGGAGCTGAAATTGTTGAACTTGTGGGCTCGGTCAGCAGACTGCCCAGGTTCAGCATTTAGCATGGAGTCCTGTCTTAGATCGGTGTTTCCCAAAGTGATTCTCAAGCCTAGTTGCAGAGGTAGTATTTTACATCATGATCCAGTATACACACACATTTATATAATAAAAAAACGAATAATGACCAAGTTTATATAGTGCTTACTGTATATGGAGAGTTAGAATTGGAACCCAGGGGTCCTGTTCCTGTCGTGCTCTTGACCACCACTCGCCACTGCCTCGTGGCCTTGCACTTGCATGCATGGGGGAACCAAACCGTTTCATCAAACACTAGTAACCCTCACTAAGAGGGATTCACAGTGATAACTCCTATTCTATTATATATCCCATCTCATTTAAAAAAATGCTGATGCTAACCTGTTAAATTGATTTCATAACTCAGGACACATGCTTTGAAAAATATTATGATAAGTGTTGTATGAAAAATTTTTTGAAAAACATCAACAATAAAAAAGCAAAATAAGTATACGTATCTCATCTTAGAGACTTTACTATGCTATAGTGCATCGTAAATCTCAAAAAGAAGGCGGGGCGGGGGGTGGGTGGTTAAACGGAATAGTTCCTAAATTTACTCAAGCATCTCCATCCCCTCGTGGAATGGACACTAATTTGGGAAATGTTATCCTATAGTGTAAACACCTGAAGGGCAGAGACAATTTGGGGGTTAATTTAATTTATATTTTAGTATGCACAAACACCTTTGACAAATTTCCAAATAACTGATTTAGGGAGACTCCTTCCCAGAGAAGGTGAACGCCCAGGACCGCGAGCTCTGGCCTGGGGAGAGGTATCCCAGGTACCTAGGCTGGGATACGTAGGTGAAGGAGGGTCACTCACCCAAGAAATATGAGAGACAGTGTCTTGAGAAAAAGTCTAATTAAAAATGTGTCCCTCTTACAAGCAGCCCATGCAGCTCAATATCAAAAAAACAAACAACCCAATCCAAAAATGGGCAGAAGACCTAAATAAACATTTCTCCAAAGAAGATATACAGATAGCCAACAAACATATGAAAGAATGCTCAACATCACTAATCATTAGAGAAATGCAAATCAAAACTACAATGAGGTATCACCTCACACCAGTCAGAATGGCCATCATCAAAAAATCTACAAACAATAAATGCTGGAGAGGGTATGGAGAAAAGGGAACCCTCTTGCACTGTTGGTGGTAATGCAAATTGATACAGCCACTATGGAGAACAGTACGGAGTTCCCTTAAAAAACTATAGATGGGAATAAAGACACAGACCTACTAGAGCACGGACTTGAGGATATGGGGAGGGGGAAGGGTAAGCTGTGACAAACTGAGAGAGTGGCATGGACATATATACACTACCAAACGTAAAATAGATAGCTAGTGGGAAGCAGCCGCATAGCACAGGGAGATCAGCTAGGTGGTTTGTGACCACCTAGAGGGGTGGGATAGGGAGGGTGGGAGGCAAGGAGACTCAAGAGGGAAAAGATATGGGAACATATGTATATGTATAACTGATTCACTTTGTTATAAAGCAGAAACTAACACACCATTGTAAAGCAATTATATTCCAATAAAGGTGTTAAAAAAAAAAGCAACTATAGAGCTACCATATGACCCAGCAATCCCACTACTGGGCATATACCCTGAGAAAACCATAATTCAAAAAGAGTCATGTACCACAATGTTCACTGCAGCTCTATTTACAATAGCCAGGACATGGAAGCAACCTAAGTGTCCACTGACAGATGAATGGATAAAGAAGATGTGGCACATATACACAATGGAATATTACTCAGCCATAAAAAGAAACGAAATTCAGTTATTTGTAGTGAGGTGAATGGACCTAGAGTCTGTCATACAGAGTGAAGTAAGTCAGAAAGAGAAAAACAAATACCATATGCTAACACACATATATGGAATCTAAAAAAAAATGGTTATGAAGAACCTAGGGGCAGGACAGGAATAAAGACGCAGACGTAGAGAATGGACTTGAGGACACGGGGAGGGGGAAGGGTAAGCTGGGATGAAGTGAGAGCGTGGCATGGACTTATATATACTACCAGATGTAAAATAGATAGCTAGTGGGAAGCAGCTGCATAGCACAGGGAGATCAGCTCAGTGCTTTTTGACCACCTAGAGGGGTGGGATAGGGAGGGTGGGAGATAGACCCAAGAGGGAGAAGATATGGGGATATATGTATATGTATAGCTGATTCACTTTGTTATAAAGCAGAAACTAACACACCATTATAAAGCAAGTATACGCCAATAAAGATGTTAAAAAAAAAAGTGTCCCTCTCAATGGTGAAAATGATGGCTTTAATGAAAGCCAACTTAATTAAAAAATTGAAACAACATAGTAGATGTTAAATAAAACCCCATTCTAATGGTTTTACTAAAATAAAGGTAGGTTATTTTTTAAGTGGATTTGTTCATCCCTAGGGGCTGGGCTAGGTGGGAGGGTCTGGGTTGAAGGCTAAGGGAAAGAAACCAGACAAGAAGGGCCCAAGGAAGACAGAGGCTTCAGCCACTCCTTGAGGGGCACTCACTTGTCAGACTTTTCATAGGGTCTCTGTGAGTGCAGGAGAGGTAGGGGGGCTGCTTGTACCTCATCATCAACTTCCTGCCCCTCTAAATCTCCCTCCCTTTGAAATACTGAAAAGTGCAGAAACTGACTCTAAGAATGAATGATTCTATAATGTGCAAAAGAGCAAATAATAAAACAAGTTCAAGAACACAGACACATGGGGCCAAGCATCTAAACAACTCTGGGTGATGCTTATTTTTGTGGCTAGCAGACATAAGGAAATTAAAAAGGGAAACTATTTTTAGAATAGAGTTGAACTTCAGCCTAACACACCTTCTTCAGAGTAACTGCAACTATTTTTTCATAACAGGGTTACAAAGTTAAATCTTAATTCCTAGTTCTATCGATGCCAATCTCCACTTTCTTCTGGTTAAGGATAATTGTCATTAAGTGCTATCTCTGCAGGAAATGGGTGGAGAGAATTTAAAGCTGCACAGTCCAGTATGGTAGCCACTAGCCCCATGTGGCTGTTTAAATTAATTAAAATTAAATAAAATTTCAAATTCAGTTCTTCAATTACGCTAGACATATTTCAAGGATTCAAGAGCCACATGTGGCTCATGGCTACCATGTTGTGCAGATTATAGAACATTTCCATCACTGTGCGAAGTTTCATTGGACAGCGCTGATCTAGAGAAAGGCCATTCACAGATGCTAAAAAGAAAATTGTTCATTTCTCCCTTCATCTAAGAGTTCCAAGTGCTACCTAGCAGAGCTGGTTTGACTTAGAATACCATGGGGTTGAATTTGAAGGCTACTGCCAAAGATTTCATTATTATTTCAAAATATCATTGCAGTTGGCCAGTATAAAATCTCTTTGCATTAAGACTTTCCATAGCCACAAGTTATCTTTCAAAATCCAAACATGCTAGGAAATGATATTTGGTGATAATAATAACTTAAACAAGTTCCACTAATTTATGAGCTAGTGCTTAGAGCAAATTATGAAAAAAACAACATAAAGATATATGGCACCATCAGCTCCGGGAATTAAAGTTTATAGTTAAAATAAGTAGGGATGCACATCTGTTGTTGCCCTTAGGATAAAGAAAATATATATTACACACCTGGGTCTTTTCCTAGCTTTTTCATGAACTTAGATTCTGTAACATTTGGTCTTTGTATCACATTTTGAGAAATTTCGCATATATTATCATTTGAGCCTCACAGCACCTAATCACTGTTATAGTGTGGATTCTGAATGCTGTAGATTCTTCTTCTGAAGGGGAAGATTGAGAGGTAATACATTATCTTGTCAGTGTCTGTTTGCTTAATTGTTTACTGAACTGATCCCAAGTGGCCGGATTACGTTGAAACCAAATGGCTAGGATTGCAGGGGCCAGCTAGCTTTTCATTCTTCATGACTCTAGGCTGCCCTGCTAATCTGGCCACTGTACTGCAGAGGTGTGTCTAGGTCACAGGGGAAACAAAGCAGGAGGACACACAGGAGTGTAAAGTCAAGTGCCGTCACTCTTGATGAACACAAAGCAGATAAAGTGAGTACAAGAAAACCGTGCAAGGTCATAGTAAGCATGACTGTGGTATTTCTAGAACAAAGCCTAAACGTAAGGCATTACTATGTTCATGCAAAAAAAAAAGAAAGAATTACTCCACAGAGTAAACTATCTCCCCGAAAGCAAGCAACCTGTAAAAGGCATTTGATGAGAAATACATGAGTTAAGTAATTGCTATAAGGACACTTTAAGGTCAATTTAAATAATACAAACAAATTTCCTTCAGCTAATGGCAGATTATAATAAACATGCGTTTCCCAAACACTTTAATACGTTTGTTCAATGTCATAACATCTACCAACTGTCATTATTGTTAGCAAAACTCGTTTATCATGTCCAGTGTTTGAACTTCCAACTTGGAGAGCTTGCAAAATATTTATTAAATACTGTATAAATAAAAGACACCATTAAAATTCTTATGCTTATGCCTTGAAGATTAAACTCACATTTCTGGCTCATTAAGAGATGGTAGCTATAGTTAATCATAGAAACATGGTGTGTCTGGGACGCACAGAAGAAAAAGTTTGGGATTATTTAATGCACGAGAGCTGAGAATGTAAAATTCTATGATCTGCAAATACCACACATATGAACCTAACAATTTTTCCTTGAAAACTTTAAGTAGGTCAACCTATTAACTATTACCATGGAGTTTATACATCCACATTTGCCTATCTTTTTGATGAACTGCAGCCCTGAATGGAGTTACAACCCTGAATTATTAAAAATCTGCCTTTGATTCAAGCAGAGAAATGAAGAAGCAGAAACTAATATTACCGTTTAGGCTGTGTTATTGTAACAGATCCAAGAACTTTTTTTAAAAATCCATGTTATTAGTATATGTGGTTGCCTAACAGGACCTCTCCTGGTCTCCCACAGGAAGTGGGACCGGGTTCACTCCAGGAGAGGGGTTTCCATCCCAACTGGGCTGTGTTCTCACATTTGTAGTCACAGTCCTTGTCTCAGCCGTGAAAAACGGTCTGACCGGAATAAACCTGACCAAAAAAATCAGGGAAGTGTTTGGGATATAATAAAGTGCCGTGGAGGTAGGGGTGGACGGAGGAGAGGCGTGAGTAGAGAAAAAAGGAATATGAATTTAGAATGGGAAAAACCCTCTCGTTCTCCATTTGATTCGTTTAAGGAGGAGAAAATCACTCGACAAGGGCTCTCTCCATAACCCAAAGCTAATCACGCTTTTATTGCAGTGGATGGTCAAACAGCCTCGGTCGGTCGCCCACTCACCGGCATCTCGCCGGAGAAACCGAAAATCCCACTTCTTCCCAAGTGTGCACCCAGGAGAGGAAAGCGAGATTGTTCATTTAGAGCGGAGAACTGCGCGCAGGGCAAGGCAAGTTAGTGCCTCCCTCCCGGCTCCCCTGCTGCCCCCGCCAGCCTGTCTCGGCTAACGGGAAAGTGAACGGCGAATGGCAGGGAGACCGGGAGGCCAAACTTGGGGTCTTTTCCGAGTCCCCCGACAACAAAAGGCCTGGGTATCGGATGGGGCGGCGGGGGGCGGAGGGCACACCTGTCAAAGGACGGGATCCGAACCGCAGCGGGCGGGAGGCGCAGGGGTTCGGCTGACGGCACTGCGGCGGCGGCGGCGGCGGCGGGGAGTAGGTTCACCGGAGGGGACTCCGGAACGCCGCCAGCCACCGCGCCTCGCTCCGGGAGTGCACCCGCAGGGGCTCGGGAGGCGGCGCCGCGCCCGGGGCGCTCCGGGGCGGGGGCCGCCGCCGAGCAGGGCTCCGCCGCCGGGAAGACCCCGCCGCCCGAGCCCCGCTGCGGCTCCCGCAGTCCCCTGTTCTCCGCCTCCGGGCTGGGCGCGGAGCCGAACCCCATGCCCCCTGGCTGCCCGGCGGCCCCGCGTGGAAGAGGGGGCGCCGCGCCTACCTGCTCCGGTGCGGCGGGGCCGCGGTCGCCTGGCGGGGCCGTGACCTGAGGCGGCGGCAGCGGCGGCGTCGGCGGCAGTCGCGGCGAGGAGGGCGCTTCCTTCAGGAAGGGGTGGGATCTGCCCGCCCGCCGCGCCGCGGCCCGCCCCCGACTTATTCTGGGGTCCCGCTTCCAGGCCTCCCGGGGAGAGTGACCCCCCTCCACACCCCCGCGGGGCCTCCGGCTTCCACCACTCCTCGGGACCCCGCATAGTTACCCGGGGCTGCAGCCGAGCGGGGACGGTGGAACCGCTTCTTTCCAAAGCCTTTGTGAACGCGATTGCCTGGCGCTCGCTCCTCACTCAACAAAAGGAAGGACTGAATCTGGGATCCTCCGCCTGGTGGTTATTTATTCCTGACCTGTTGTAACCTGCTGGTCGGCTCCCTTCTGTCCCCACACCTAGGGTTTTTGCACAGAGCAGCTAAAACTCATTTTCGTGCCCACTGGCTGAATGCAGTTCTCCGCCGCTCAGCGCTCTCCCGCGGTTTTCTTTCATCGTGGAGAGCAAACACAGGGCCAACTTCTGACCCTGGCAATGAGCGGAGACTCCAAGGCCGCCCTCCCAGCGCCAGGTTGCTCTCTTCCTGCCAGTGTCTCGTCTGAGTCGGCTATAAAACTGTATTCATCGGCATCTGAATAGCTTTCCCCACCGCAGACCGCAGCCAATCAGTGGCACTACTATGTCAGTGACCTCTGGCAGCAGCGTGGATCAAGGCTATTTTTATCTCACGCTCACCGTTAACTTCTCTTCCAGACGCAGCCTTCCGGGGCTCCCACGGGAGGACCTCCTTTATCCACCTGCCTTAGGCTGACCTCCATTCTTTTAGGCCCCCGCACCACCACACCTGCCTCTTCTCATCTGCTGCCTCTCAAAGCACACGGTTCAAATTCTCCAATTCAACATTCCAGAACTCTTCCTTCCCCCACGATGTACTATTCCCCCATAATACACTATTATGTGTGTATTGATATGTTTTTACTGCTTTTTCCTGGCTACTAGACTGCGAGCTTCTTGAGGCCAGGGACCTGGCCTCTTCTGTATACCTTCCCTTCAGGTTAAAACATCTGGTTAAAACAGCAAAAACAAAAACTTTAATCTAGATCCTCTGCTGAATTTTGTGGAGGATAGCCTATGCCCATTCTTTCCGAGGAGAGTGACTACTGCTTTCATCAGATCCTCAGTGATCTGTGACTTCCCAGAGCTAAGAATTGCTTGAGGCCAGTCGGTGAATGAACCTCAGCTCTGAGGTGAGGACCGCTGCCCCCAATTCCATCCCTTCTCTACGATTCATTTCTCTCTGTGATGACTGAAGGCACCCTCTAGCTACACCTGCTTCCAGTCCATTCTTTAAAAACTTCTGGATTCATACAATTATGAACTTAACTCTGTCTGCGTACCTGAATCACCAGTGGGAGCTTTAAAAAATACAAATGCCTGGATCTACCTCAGACCCCCTAAGTCAGAACCCGAGGGCAGGGAGTGTTGAGCAGAGAGGAGCGATCCAAACAAGGGTATTTTTACAAAGAGTCACAGGTGATTCTGACATGCCCGTGACTAAATCACTGCCTTTCTTGGGAGAGGGGTTCCCTATTTGTAAAATGTCCTTACTTTTCCTTGTCTTTATGGAAGGACTGAGAACCCTTGCACTGTGTTAAATTTATTTGAACATTTTCATTTTCACGCAGAGCCAGGCCCACTTGTGCTTAAGAAACAAACTTGAATTTGTGAAGATAGAAGCCTCGGTGCCATTTGTCAGCAGTGCTAAATCATCGTCACCTTCATCTCTAAAACGTCCATCCAAATAAACTCAAAGAGTGGAATAAATTACATTCCTGACAGTGATATTGACAGCTGAAAGATTATGTTAAAATCCCAGCCACGAAGGGAGTTGGTTGTTATAAACAGATTCCATTAATGTCATGAGACTTCTAGTGAAGCTTCAAGAGAACTGAAGACAAACTAAATGTAAGTTTATCCATGCTTTGATTTTTCTTTTATTGGTCTTGGTATCCCATCCGTTAAAATTCATCCACGATGTACTCAGTACAATCTTAGATATATTAAATCATGTATGGATGTAAGAGCAAAGTACTCTTCTGGAGCTGGTTCTCTTTTTAAAAAAATGTATATAAAGATCTATCCTGTATTCTAAAATGATCTGTTGACAATGTTCCAAAATGCTTCAGGCTTTGAGGAAAGGTACAAGTACAGATCAAACAGGGTTTAAGACCTGGAAATAGAGGCCAGCCACAAACTTGGTGGGTAGGGTGGTGATCAGTACGCAGGGATAGAATCATTCCACAGGATCACGATGAGGCACCATGATTCTGACACCATGGTGATCTACCAAGTCCACTGACTTAACTCACAGCACAGGTATCCCTCCATCTGAGTAGGGGTGGTGGCTTTTCTGATATAAGTGAACTTGTTACCCAACTGAAACCACTATAGAACATTTAGAATCACAAAGAAATTCTATATTCTCTCATTTTCTTTCTCCCTGCAGCCACTTTATTGTTGTTTAAGATTCAAATCAGTTCCTTTGTTCAGCTGGCAAAGCAGACTTGAGAAGCACAACTCATAAATAACACTCCTGGGATTCTGGGAATCCCTGCTGCTGGTCCAGTTGCAGTGAATCTCGTTGTAATAATAATCTCTGTATAACAAAATCATTCCCAGCCTTATCCAATCATTACCAAGCCTTATCAGTTGAATTATCCAATCCAACTGATGTTCCATCTCTAGTGAGCAGCAAAAGCATACAAAGTTCATTGAAATGGCATTTGATCTCTACCAACACCTACCTATTAAAGAAAACCTCACGGGGTAATTGTAAAGTAAACATTTAACAGGTTGTTAAACGGGACCTATTATTTTATTTCCATTTTGACAGGGGCCCCAGATAATGGTTGCCAACCACTCTCACATTCCAAACAAGTTGCAGGACCACCAAGAAGGGCTTGCAAAGGAGTGTTGCCTGAACTTTCACTTGCTTTGAAGGTATAAAAGGGTTGAAGTGGAGGCTGTTGGAAGTGCTGTGGATGAAGAAGGGTTTCTATGGAAGGAGTTGTAGGTGTTCTAAGAGACCCCTCCTATGCAGCCCCCAGGGGGAGGGTGAAGGGTGTTCTTCTCTCACCTTGAGTCTGATGAGAGGGACTTCAGGCCGGTCTCTCGGAGAGCTTGAGATGTGTCCCCTGCAGTTTGGGAAATGCCATGGACCAATGTCTGGCTCATGCCTGAGAAATCTAAAGGGCCAGAGTTGGTAAAAGTGGCCTGAACACAGGCGGGTAGGGACTCTAGTAGGGGAAGTAATTTACTTCCATGGAAGACAAGTCTAAGATAGTGAGACAGACAGTGTGGGCTTGACTTTCCTCTACCCAAGAGCACTGCTTGGAAGGGCAAAGAGACCTCAGCAGATAGAAGCCAGTGGTATGCCTCCGGATGCCCCTGGGGCGGAAGAATCTAAGGCAACCATCAGAGGCAAAATGAACTTGCGTGGGCCAAGGGGTTGGGTGGTGAGAGATTGCCCAGCAGGGTGCTGGTGGCTCCAACAAAGCCATGAGATAGCACCAGTGATAGGAAGTGTCAGCTCCATGGCCGCAGGAAGCCATGCCCACCTAGAGCCAGCTTTTTGCCTCCTTAGCTCTCTCTCTTTCCCACTTTAGTCCTGGAGGAGTTAGACAGCCTCCTGTTGTGCAAGGAGGGGAGAAGCCAGGCTGCAGAAATACAGCGAGAGCCTACCATTATGCGCCTTTGCCACTGAAGTGTGGGCTTTTTATTATTACACTAGACCAGACGTATTAATTACTGATATAGGACTAGTTTTGACTACCAATAACCAGAGGCCTTTTGTTTTGTTTTGTGTTTCTTTTTGAAATTGAAATATAGTTGATTCACAATGCTTCAGGTGTACAGTAAAGTTTCAGTTATACATAAACATGAATCTTTTTCAGATTCTTTCCCAGTATAGGTCATTACAAGATATTGAATACAGCTTCCTGTGTTATACAGTAATACTATTTTATATATAGTAGTGTGCAGATGTTAATCCCAAACCCCTAATTTATCCCTCCTCTCCCCCTTTCCCCTTTGGTAACCATAATTTTGTTTTCTATATCTGTGAGTCTCTTTCTGTTTTGTAAATAAGTTCATTGTATCATTTTTAGATTCCACATTTAAGTGATATGATATGATATTTGTCTTTCTCAGAGGCTTTTTTATTATTTGAGAGTGACCTCAAAAGTCATAGCTCCTACACATTAATTTATTCAAGGGGTGGGAAAACAACTAGCCCCACAGAGCAGGTTTGAACAGGCATGACAGAGGAATATAGAGCTGTTTTCTGATTATACCATGAGTCCCGCCGGGTCAACATATCAGCTATATATTCAAATATAATGCATTCCCTATTATACCTTAAAACCTCTGGGGATGTGTCAAGCTGGCATCTTACCTGAATTACAAATAAAGTGAAATGTGTCAAGAAACTCCCTTCATGTGTAATAAATTATAACTTAAGCTTCCCAACAAGAAAGAAGTAAGGATACTGGATTAAAAGATCCAAATGGATCTATATGTTGGTTTAATCTTTGCTGTGGTTTCCTCATCTAGGGGACTGGGATTAGATAAAAGGTCTCTTTTAGTCAGAAAAGTCTAGGTTTTGAAAAGGCTACAGCACATACAGCCTGTCCTAGATCAGGGACCAGTGAATTCTTCAGGGTCTGCTCCACTGGGCCAGCAGCACTCAGACCAGCATATCTGGTCTTAGAGGACTGCAGTGCTTTGCAGTGATAAGGGAGAAATATTTCTGAAATGCAGACGGACAAGTAAAGTGGTGCCTTCCTTTGGAGACCAACGTGTGGTTGAGGTTGATATGATTTCTTTGCTGACAGTTTCCATATTATGCACTTGGCAGTTGTGATCTGGGAAACCCCGAGCACTTCACTGTGTTCTCTTGAGTGCTAGGTATTATCATCTCGCTCTCCTCCAGTGAGAAAGCAGAGTCTGAAAGAGGTCTGTGG